TGGTTGTATACCTGTAAGAATCCTCCAAACTAGGATTTTAGAAGTTTTATTGACAAAAGTAGACATTCTCAATACATCGAACTTTAGTTGAAAAAAATCGGTTATGTTCAGAGTTATCGGTAAAGTCTTGGACTTGCTTGAGATTCAGTCTTTCTTGTTGTCCGCCTTGAAAGTGGATTCTTAGCAGAGGAGTTCAACGAGTGATTGTGGCACAGGTAAATGATCTTTGATCCAGTTTTTGGAATCTGCAGCCTTAGCTTCGAGTTATTTCAATGTGTTGGATTGAGGTTTTAGAGAAGTACTATGGACATGGGTTTAGCAAAAGAAGGAAACGAGAAGTCTGCAACAAATCAGAAGAAAGTAAAAAAAAGAAATCGAGAAGACAAGTTCAAAGCCAAAAAAAACATAGGTTCCACCGAGACTTGAACTCGGGTTACTAGATTCAGAGTCTAATGTCCTAACCGCTAGACCATGGAACCATTTGCGACATGTAGTTCAGTCGTTATTTTTTTAACAAGGTGTTTTTTAACAATGGTCAATGGAATCAGTTTTTTTTTTTCTTTTCAAGAATAGATATTGATAACTCATTTTTTATGTTGGTAATAAGTTATTTGAATTAGATGTTTTCAACTATTAATTAATTATATTGTATTTCTATCTATGCTCACATATACATTCTTTAGATGCATGTATTTCAATCAAGATGCGATGTCTCTTTCTTAAACTAATTCTGTCCTAATAAACCGATTCAAAGAACATGAACAAAGCATGTCGTTTGTAAAAATGTCACACAAAGAAAGAGATATATGGTTTATATCTAACTTTTTGAAAGTCAAAAACGATAATGGACAGTTTTAACAAAAACTCAGCTACTATTCTTCCATTGTTTGTTATATATTTGAGATAACAAACACCATATGGAATAATTAAAAGACGCACAAAACATTGATTATAAGATTAGATGATTTTGGTATTAGCCTTCCTCTTCGCTGTTCTCATTCTTAATGTTCTTCTATGGAGATGGCTAAAGGCCTCAGCATGTAAATCCCAAAGGCTTCCTCCTGGCCCACCAAGATGGCCTATTTTGGGCAACCTTCTCCAATTGGGCCCTTTACCTCACAGGGACTTGTCCGCACTATGTGGCAAGTACGGCCCATTAGTCTACCTTCGGCTCGGAAACATCGATGCCATCACAACAAACGATCCTGATACCATCCGAGAGATTCTATCCCGGCAAGACGATGTTTTCGCCTCGAGACCTAAAACGCTCGCTGCTGTCCACCTTGCATACGGATGCGGGGATGTTGCGTTAGCGCCGATGGGCCCGCATTGGAAAAGAATGAGGAGAATATGCATGGAACACCTACTTACAACCAAACGGCTTGAATCGTTTACGGCCCAACGAGCTGAGGAAGCGCGGTATCTAATACGGGATGTCTTTCAACGGGCCGAATCCGAAAAGCCCATAAACCTTAGGGAAATATTGGGTGCTTTTTCTATGAACAATGTGACTCGAATGCTACTAGGGAAGCAGTTTTTTGGACCTGGGTCACTAGTAAGTCCAAAAGAAGCTCAAGAATTTATGCATATAACTCATAAATTGTTTTGGTTGTTGGGTGTTATTTACTTAGGAGACTACTTGCCGCTTTGGAGATGGGTGGATCCGTACGGATGCGAGAGAGAAATGAGAGACGTAGAGAAGCGTGTGGACAAGTTTCACTCGAAGATCATCGATMAGCACAGAAGGGCAAAACGGGGAAAAGAAGATAATAACGAAGACATGGATTTTGTTGACGTTTTATTGTCTCTACCTGGTGAGATTGGTAAAGAACACATGGAAGACGTTGAAATCAAAGCACTAATTCAGGTATTTGTAAATTTCACGTACCAAATATCTATTAATCTACATTTTGCATATGCTTTTTTTATATTAATTGTGTAAATTGTTTTGATTGCGTTTGGCGTTACATTTACTAGGACATGATCGCTGCCGCGACGGATACATCAGCGGTCACGAACGAATGGGCAATGGCTGAAGTGATTAAGCAACCACGAGTGATGCGTAAAATTCAAGAAGAGCTCGATCATGTCGTAGGATCAAACCGGATGGTCGATGAATCGGATTTAATCCATTTAAACTATCTACGATGTGTGGTACGGGAAACATTCCGAATGCATCCGGCCGGACCGTTCTTGATCCCCCATGAATCCGTCCGACCAACAACGATCAATGGCTACTACATCCCGGCAAAGACACGTGTCTTCATCAATACACATGGATTGGGCCGAAACACTAAAATATGGACCGATGTGGACGAATTTAGGCCCGACCGGCATTGGCCCGTCGATGGTAGCCGGCGGGTCGAGATAAGCCACGGGCCGGATTTTAAGATATTGCCGTTTAGCGCCGGGAAGAGGAAATGTCCCGGAGCTCCGTTAGGCGTGACTATGGTGCTAATGGCTCTGGCTCGGCTCTTTCATTGCTTTGAGTGGTCTTCGCCGGAAAATATTGATACCGAGGAAGTTTATGGCATGACTATGCCTAAGGCTAAACCATTGTGGGCAGTGGCTAGGCCACGATTATCAGCTCATTTATATACATAGTAGTACAATGAATTTTAACTTTTTAAAAATTTGGATTAATAAGAATTAAAATTCGGTTTCAAAAATATCGTTTTAAAACTGTAGCGAGGCTTTGCATAATCCCTGAAATTCAAACGAAATAAGAAAATAACTAAAAATTGAGTGAAGCAATTAAAAAATTTCGGTTATTGAATACTAAACCAACTTGGTTAATTTTGTCCTTCCGGTTTAGTAGAACCCTACTTTTTGAGTTTTGACTCTCTCGTTCATTCAGTTCTTCGGCTCTGTTGTGAATTAGAATGTTTTGGAGGATTCGGCACGCCATGTTTCTCCGTCGATTTCCAGCTGTGATTTCTCCGGCGAGAAGGGTTTTCAGCAGTAAAATCTACGAAGAAATCGATCCCCTAACTATGAATATACATGAGCTAAATCAGGTCTTTTCACTCTCTGTGTTTGTTAATTTTTGGTTTTGTGTGTGTTCTGCAACTAGCTGCATCAATCACCTCCTTAAATTACTGGGTTTTCGGTTATGAGTCGTGTTGGGTTTAGAGTTTGTGTTTCCGATGATGGAATCGTTAGAAAAACAAGAATTTGATGCTAAAGTACAAAATCAGTAAGCTTGATTTTACGAAACAAATGCTTAAAAGTTGGATGCTTTCTCCATTGATCATTTGGTGTTTCAGGAAATGCAATCAATCTTTGGAGAAGAACCCTCTCCCGATGGATTTACCGGTCCTACGAAAATGGATTTCTCTGAATTGAAATCTCTGGAATCTACAAAACCTGAGAATCCTGAACTTAGATCCCAGATTGAGTATTCTCAAGCTAAAGAAKWARCTGCAAAAGTGGCMMGTGATATYTCTAATAAGCTAACGCATGTAGGGATCTCAGGGGAAGCTCAAATGGTGGATGTTTCTTCCAAGGACAATACTAAGAGAACCGCATTGGCTTGCTGTAAAGTTGTTCTCGGTAAAAGAGTTTTCGATTTGGTCTTGGCGAATCAAATGGGGAAAGGAGATGTTCTTGGAGTGGCGAAAATCGCTGGCATTAACGGAGCAAAACAGACCAGCAGCTTAATACCATTGTGTCATAACATTGCTCTTACGCATGTTCGTGTGGACTTGAGACTAAGCCCTGAGGATTTTAGTGTTGACATTGAAGGAGAAGCTTCTTGCACTGGTAAAACCGGAGTTGATATGGAAGCTTTGACTGCTGTATCAGTTGCTGGCTTAACTGTTTACGATATGTGTAAGGCTGCTTCGAAAGATATCAGTATTACAGATGTGAGACTCGAGCGTAAAACTGGTGGAAAGAGCGGGTATTGGTCTAGAGAAGAGTGAACACAAAGATCATTTTGTCTCCTTAACTATGGAGGTTAGCATTTTTTTCATCTTTGGAATGACTTATTGTGATCTAGTTGATAAGAACCTAACTCTTTATTCCTTATCAATGGCGATTACAACAAGAACCTAGGGTTTATTCAAGAGTCCCTCTCTCCCCTATAGCCCAAAGCTATTCTTGATACATCACACACAATGCATAATCTCTCTTGATACTCCTCTTATTCTATTTATACGATTCTTTATTCACTAGCAAAAGTCTCTCCTTCCACGCCACTTCTCTTGTCCACGTCAGATTGCTAGCCTATCACTAGTATATAGAACTATAATAACTTTTGAAATCATTAGGCGTATTAATTTCACACATGCAGTTTGAAAGACACTATAGTTAAGTTCTTCTACTTGCTCACACTATGCTGCTTATGCTGTCTGAGTTTGGGTCTAAAGAAAGCATAATGGTATAGTTAGATCATTACAACACAATTAGAAGGATCAGAGTAACATAATGTGTATATTTACATATAGGTATCATCACTAAGTATACGACCAGGTAATGCTTATTTGATGCATCATATCGGATTTTAAATATTTTTGTATGCAAATTGTTTCATGTCACAACCCTTACAATGATGAATGAGCACTTAACAGAGATAAAGACCCTTTTTCTTTCTTTCTTTCTTGTAGTGGCTTTTGCTTTCTTGTCACTTTTTACATTTCACCCTTTAATCAATTATGTTTCTTTTCTCCATGTTTGAGATCTCTAGTTCTAATTGTTGGTCAGGTTGGAGGAACTACGCGTAGAGTCACCATGGCTGGACCTGATCGGGACCAGTATTCGAAATTATTCGATCAGTGAACCAACCGGTCAAGTAAAGGTTGGGGCTTGCAACATGTGTGGTAGTAGATCTTTGTAAAGTTTGGTACTTTGGGTAAGCATTTGATGTGGAATTTGAGGATTTCACCTAAACACCCTAAGAGAAACAATATATGAGAGTGAAGTGTTTGATAGAAAAATCAATGCTTTCAACTGTGAAAAGTCATTATTCACTGCTCACACTTATTCATATAATGTTCACATTCTTAATACAGTGACAAAGAAAGATTGGTCACAGCATTTAAGTGGTGGTCACACATCCCAATATCAAACTCTATTTTAAATCTCCTTGTTGTATTCATAACGTCATTTATATAGTACTATGGTTTAGTTTCACATTTTGATGTCATTATTTCGAATTCTTGTGGGAGGAATAATTGAAAAGAGAGTTTGATGATATCAATAATATCTAACAAGATCTTGAGATCTAAAGTTCGTGACGATTTATGTAAATCATTTATCATACAAACGCACACATATATGCATAATGCATGCAATATTTGTATACTTGAATAATAAAATCTATTGTTTAAGTTCTCTCCACTTAAGTTTAACAAAAAAAAAAAAAAAGTTTAACGTCATAAGAAACATTCGTCGATATTTGTATGAGATTATGAATTTTTTTATTTTTAAATTAGTTGTTTTTGTTTCTTTCAGTTTCCACCCATATGTAATGTTTTCATATTATGCTAACTCAAGAGCGAAATATGGCACCAATTGTGGGGGAATAATTAGCCATAAGTATAAAACAAGCATTCCACTTTTCACAAATAATTTACGTAGTTATTTATTTACCTCCTTTTTACTAAGCTAATTATTTCATATTGTTCCCCACAAACCACTCATTTATGTTACTAATTTCATAGTGTTTGACAGTTTGTGTTTGTTATCCACCAAATCTGTTACGTCGCTTTTGCATTTTCGCAATCTTATTATGATAATACGATAGATATTTTATTCAAAATACATTTATTATATGGATATAGAAAAAAGAATAAAATAAAAGAGACCGCTTTGCTTCTTTTTTCTCTCAGTTCAAGAAGACTAGTGCATTTATTTATACAGAGGCCACTCTCACTACCATTTTCCCGAGAAAGCTCGAGAAAAAATGGAAGGAAAAAGAAAAGCTTTCCTCTTTACTCTCTGTTTCTTCTTCCTCTCTCTCCCTTCCTTCTCTTCTCTTCCAGCTTTCCAAACCCTAATCCCCAATTCTCATTCCCTTCCTTCAGCAACTCCTGTCTCCTTCCTAC